GGGGCCAATGTTGAGGGGCTTTCTGTAGACAGACGCAGTGTCAAATCTTCACATTGACGTTTGGAAATGAGCTCAAGCTGCTGGGCGTGATTTGGCAATTTTTGCTAATAAAGGGATGGATACCTACCTACATGAGTAACGCCTACTTCCGTGGGGCTCAGTACAGAGAGATAGAGGGGAGAGGAGAGAGAGAGAGAGAGAGAGAGAGGTTGGGAGGAGGAAAGAGAGTTAGAGGAGAGAGAGAGAGAGATAGACGGAGAGAGAGACGGAGAGAGAGAGAGAGACACGGATGCGTCTTATTCGGGATGCTGACACCATTCTTCAATAATGTTGTAATCACCGCTGTCATCTGTATCCATTTATTCAAGATGCTGAACGCAGACGCACGCACGAACGCACGCACGCAGGTACAGAGTTCATTTACCCGGTCCCGGTGGGAAACAAAGTTGATTATGACGCACAGTAGGGTAGACAGGTAGACAGTGTCGTGTCATCTTATGAAACGGAAGCACTGATCGCCTTGTAGTATTAGACACTCGAATTTAACGTGCAGGCCACAAAAATATCCCAGTGTTACCAAGTGTACCTTAGTTTACGAGGGGGCAGACTAGATTGGCGTAGTGACGTCAGTACAGTGTGGCATAGTGCAAAAAGTGTACTTTATTGCCTGATAAAATACTGTCGACACCTTTGATCTTTTAGCGAAGCATTTTAGAAATATTCGTTCAATATGCTTGATAGGAATGCTAAGAGCACGTGACGGTCACGTGCTAATAAGGTCAAGGGTTAAATTTACTCCCGGTTTACGATGACCACGATTCACCTCAGAGTTCTATTTCCTGCGGAAAATTGCCGATTGAGTTACGGGATAAGACGTAAGGTATGGAAAGTAGCGCCATCTCGGGGTCTCGTCGCCCTTGTCCATTGTTCAAAAATTGAATCTGACACACTCCATCAAACTAAACCCTATAATTTACCAATCGGGCCAACCATCAGTTCTGATCACCATCTATCTAAATTTGTACCCTATGCCCCAAGGGAGTTCGTCAACCGACAATATTTACTCAGCAGGGCAGACGACCTAATAAAGATTCAGCATGCAAGTGATAACACTTACATACTCCCTGAAAGCCTGTAAATGTATTTGTCATTACGACGCCACAATCTAGAAATGGTCATCAACTCAATGGCCTGTGGCCACGCTTCCCGACTCGTTGAACGCTTGCCTTGTTTATAGGTTAAGTACCTTTTGAGAAGTCTGAGGAGACAGTTGTGAGAAAAGACGTAAATTGGAGCTGGGAAATAGCGGCAAATGTCCCCTTGTTGCATGAGAATGAGATAAGGGTAACGTTAATGCAAATGACAAGAAGAAGAATTTGTTATATTTTTCTTGTCTGTGTTATCTCCCGGAGGACATTGTAGGAAAGTATATAGTCCTTAGGTCCACTTTGTTTAGAGATTTGAGTACACTCTTCGGCAGTGCTTTTCACCCCACATAACACCATCAGATGGAAGAGTGAGTGTGGTTTTACGCCGCAATATTCCAGCAATGTCACAGCTGGGGACTCCAGGAATGGTGTCACACATTGTACTCGGGCATAGATGGGCAGAGTTCTCTTGTAGAACATGTAACAACCTTGTTCTTAAAATCTTTAATTACTACGCAGTTTTCATTTCCTGCTATTACAAACGCCGTGAGCTGAAGTGAGTGAGTGAGTTTAGTTTTCCGCCGCCTTTAGCAATATTCCAGCAATATCACGGCGGGGACACCAGAAAGGGACTTCACACATTGTACCAGTGCGGGTCTCGAACCGGGTCTTCAGAGTGACGAGCGAACGCTTTAACCATTAAGCTACCCTTTTCGAGTAAATGACAGACAAGCAGACTTCATTTCATCACGTAATAGAGGAAGTTATGACCTGATGTAACAGCCGTTGTAGTTAGGATTACACTTTCGTAGTAAAGTACAGAACTAGTACTATTCTTGGTTGACGAGTCCCGTTCGGGATAAGAACCCACACTCCGAGAGTAAGGTACCTAATCGCCAGCATATATAGTGAGCGATCTAACCTCCAGAGCCATCGCGGCTTCTACAAAACGGAGTCAACCAAATGACAGTCTAGATCACGTTCTTTCATTACCCCTCTGATAAGAGCGAATCTAGAATCTGTACTTTGCTGAGAGAATGTTTTCCCAAATATAACAGATATTATATTGTAAAAGGCTTTGTGTATTTATTACCTAATGCCCCAAATATTCTCCCCCTTAAATGGCGATGTTCGCAAAACTTTCCGCCCGTGGGAACCAACGCAAATTAATGCAATTCTATTGTTAGTCACCGTAACCTGTTTCCTTGTTAAGTCGGGGCGGTAGGGTAGCCTAGTGGTTAAAGCGTTTGCTCGTCACGCCGAAGACCCGGGTTCGATTCCCCACATGGGTAAAATGTGTGAAGCCCATTTCTGGCGTCCTCCGCCGTGATATTGCTGTAATATTGCTAAAAGCGGCGTAAAACCATGCTCACTCACTCCATGTTAAATTATTAGCTAGTAAACTAACTGGTCCAGACTCACTAATGCATGTATTGTAAAATATATAATTACGTCGTACTATAAAACCTTACATTATTGCTAAATGCAGCAATAAACAACTGGAACCAGGAACCACTAACGTTAAACAGGCACACCATTGGAATCAAGTTGTGGGTGTTGATTTCATTCTCGCCACGACTGTGTCTGGCTTTCAGTTTGACCACACCACAGGAAGACATCTATCCTCTGGACATTAGACATAGGTGGATTGCTGTAGTAGCATATTATCTCTGACAATAAAAGTCTGCAACTATGATCCGGCTCCGTCTCATCATCCGTGCAGATAATATCCTCCTTGTAACGCTGGAAACTGATACTTTGGATGATGATATATAATGAAACCCAATTTTCTAAAATACGCCGATGATGTTTGATGTCCATATGCTGGGCAGACATGATGGTACCTTGTTTACTTCAAGTCACGTTTTTGGTTTCGATGCTGATTGCTTTCATAAAAGGACTTACTTTTACATGTCCCGTCAGACTGAAACCAGACATTTATGGGCTTGGCAAATTTCGTCTTATTATATAGCTCAAGCAGAAACCGATTTTACTGCAGTGTTGGCGAGCTGGTAAATTAATCATATATTTTATTAAATTGATTATATATGATATCTCTTCTATAATTGCTTAAATTCAGGTGGGGAGTTGATATGTGGGCGTTCAAATTTAAATGTTACCGCAAAGTAACCCTCGACAAATATATTTTCAATATCGTTTTGACTATATTGCATGAAACAACTTCAAAGTCGATGCTTGAATGGGATATATAGATGTACGCCCTTATCTAGACTTCCGTGAACCCCCCCTTATTCGTATTTACACATAAATGTATAAATGATATTTATAGATAATCAAATACCTCCAGGATATCGACAGCAATCAATCGACCACCATAGGAATGGTGAAGGCCAACACACGAGTTTAACGACATCATGATATTACAAGTTTCAAGTTACTCCTGTTTTCATACTTCTGTTAATCACACATTCCTTTACAATTCATTTCACTTAACTGAAGTTTGAAAATCGACTGTGGTCGAATGTGACTTCAAAGTTCTAACTTACATGTATTTGAGTATAACAGCAACGCATTACATGCGCGTTTAAGATCGTACTGACGTGCTTGGGGAATTGATAAGTAGTCATTAAGTAGTAGTTTTTAATTGTTTTATATCTCTGTGTCGTGAAAAATTATGTAGTTGTATTGGAGTTGGTCCCTGCGCGGTAGTATCGTAACGAAACGGTACAGGTGTCAATTCTTGGGTGTCATTTCACCTGATGAACGAGTAAGAATATACTCCGAAACTCAGAGCGCAAGTGTATGCCAGTTCTTTCCCTACAGATTGCCCCTGATGTTGTAAACTGCTGAGCGTGTTATGTTTGATGATGTTAGGTAACGCTAAATTGTTTTTGTGTTCTCGGATCTGACACCTCTATTTCCTTTATCAAAGTATTGAGAGGCATCCTATTGTTCTTCCCATAAGAACGTCTGGTATTTAATTTTTATATATGTAAAAAATATTGTGGTGAGTGCTTGTGGCGATAATGGTGTCAGCGTTTCGGCGTCACTTCAAGGCCTCATTTTGGAGAGGTTTTAACGACAAGGGTGGGATAATTTTGTTTTAAATGACAGCTCTTGGTTCATACGAAGTAGCTGTATTGCTGCTACAACGTAAAACACATGGGCACAATGTGTGAAGCCCATTTCTGGTGTCCCCCGCCCTGATATTGCTGGAATATTGCTAAAAGCGGCGTAAAACTCACTCACTCACTCACTCACTACAACGTAAAACTCAACATGCATTCATGGGCGTACGCTGCTATAGTTAGTGATCATAATCTGAATGTGCTTTAAGTGCATCGTTGAAATATACGCTTATTATCTTTAAAAGCTCACGAGATTGTGTTTTACATCCATAGTCCTATTTCTATAATTTCAGTCTTTGCAGAAAGGATGAGACATATTGCTCATCCGTGCAATTTAAAATGTAAAATAAATTAACTATACTGACACACAAAGATAAAACATTACTCAAATTAAAGTACAAAACACACGATTTTATCAGTAAAATCAATAAATGATGACTGTGTTGCATTGCTGTTTGATTCCACATTCTAAAATCTGTAAACTTTTAATTTTTGTGACCATTTTGAAATTATTTCTACTTTTTAATGTTTGTTTTTAAAGTGTTTCAAATATGATATGGTAATAAGACAGGATCGTGATAAGTTTCTCAAATCTTTCCAGGAAACATTGTTTACCTATCATTGTCACCATCCTGAGATAAATATGCCTGTTTGTAGCATTTCTGACTGTAAACATGTTTGAACTTTCTCCTTTTTGCTTCTGTTTTGCAGTTTGAAATATGTAAGTATATATGGGAACCACATTATCTCTGTTGTGTTGCAGGCGCCCCAGCTGGTGCTGGTGTCGATGCTTCTCGCCTTTATCGTCATTGGCAACTTGTGTGTCCTTGCTGCCATACAACTGTCCAAAACTGGTCGAAAGACCCGGATGAACTTCTTCATAATGCATTTGGCCATTGCAGGTAAGGAATTAGCCATCATATTCTGTTATGTTTAGCGTCTTGAATTTACCATTCGAAAAACGCAAGGAGGTTTTGCAAATGTTATTGACGGGTGCCACCGGTGGGACAAGATAGCTTCACCTTTTCGCGAACACCAGGTGACATCACTATTTCCATGGTGATTCATAAACACATTCTCATTAGCAGAGATGGATGTGGAAGTGGGTTTGTCGCTTTTCCTTACGTTTGAAATTGAACTCTGCTTTCTGTGCTACAAGAACCACATTTAACACAATGGTACCCAACCGCCCATAATGCCGAAATTTACAAACTATTTTTGTATGCTGGTGATACTAAACCTTTTGATAGAAAAAACAACCGATCTTAAGAACACAATTGATAACTTGTAACCCTTATGTGTTGTTTGAAAACTTAAGGTAAATATTGAAAAAACGACAATAATAATATCTGGATTACAACAACCACATAAATGCAAGTAGAAATATTCCATTTCGGTCGGCAAAAAGTACCGTTGGCGGAAGTTATATTCTATCTAATAATTATTACATCAGAACGAATACTCTGTACCCAGCAATGTCTGTTTGTGTCAGTGTGTTCATACTCATCGCCGCAAAAACATAAGAAACTATCATGTTGTTGTATGTATAAGTTGACATCTTTAACGGAGGAGGCGTAACAGTAGGAGGAGGAACAGCGCTAACACGTACTGCACGTGCTACATAGTGTATGTCGTTGTTGACGGACGCTATTCAGCTGATGTGAAACGGTGTGTGTTGCCCTGGAAGAAAAGGTCATATTAATCCGTTGCGGCCACGTCACCATAACTCATTTAAGGCCATTACACGTCGGGGCCTTGCTCTCTGGATTCCGTACTGCCCATGGTAATAAGGGACTTGACAGGAAAAGCAAGTACCAATCTATTTTTCACCCACTCCAGAAATATCCTGCCGTTCAACAGGATAGTAACTTCTCATTGGAGACACACGTGCAATATTGAGTATTAAAAAAATGTACTTTTAACATTCGACAGAGATCTGAAAAACATGTTTTCTAATCGCGAGAATGTGATGCCCAAAAGGTCACCTAAAGCCTTTAAAGAATCTTCAAAGATACTCCGTACTTTGTGAAGCATTAAATATTTTTCCTTTTTCCAAATCATATTTCTTAACCTTTATTGCATTTTAGATTAGAACTGGTAATCAAACACTACCAATAGAAACAGGCCAAAAGGGAAATATACCACAGGAACAAAAGTCTTTTATGCCGAATTCCACAACCTTACGCTCTAAATGTATCAACGTATATTATACAAAATGGCTAAACATAGTGAAATGCCGTTTATAGTTTACAAATGGTGAAGTACCAACTTCTCAAAATGTTAAAGTTCCACAGAAATGTTAATGATACACTGTGACTCTTTGGCTTTTTTAAAGTATAACTGTGCAACCGACAGTAAATATTGTGTAAGAATAGGATAGAAACTTTCAAAGGTACACGGGACGGTTATCAAATCTTCAGTCATCTAAACATACCTGCCTTGGCATCTGTGTTATCTTGTGACACTCATGTACAAAGTGTCTGACCACCAAATCTTATCGGCCATTTACCCTTGACCAGGGTCTCGATACCAATCACACTAGTCAGAGAATGCCAATGAACGCATTAGCTGGCTTATTACTGACATGAAAGTGATCTTAATAATTACTGTGATTAAGTCCGTTCCCCTTATCCACGTTAGATCGGTCCTAAGAGAAATATCTGAATGATTATGTAGACTTTATTATCATATATAGTTCTAGGACAGATTGAAAGGCTGCCGTCCCTATCCCGCCCAATAGACTAAGAATGAATATGGCGATCAGCATGCCTATTAGGTTGTTGTTATGTTGTAAACATTACTGCTACTAGAGCTTTTTGAGGACACTGGTTTTGCTGAAACGAAATGGGTGTTATTTCTTATTTTTAATTATGTTGTGTTGTGCTGAATTGTGGAATTCGTCTTTCATATAACACATGTGGGAAAATTGCCGATCGTTAATCGAATACATTTTTCCTTTTTAACATCTACTGTGGCCGATTATTTTATTATTTTTATTTTTTATTCAGATGTGTCATATTGCTCATTTAATTACTACTGTCACCTTCCTTGTTATCCCCTCGCTTAAACAGACATCTGTCCACACTCACTGTTCACTCACTCACTCACTCACCCACACACCTACCGTTTTTCTCACTCATTTATTCCTTACCTTGTGCACCGAAACACTCACTTAATCCCACTCACTCACTCACTCACTCACTCACTCATGTGAAAACTCTGAATAGCAATTTTAAGCTATAGTTGTAAAAAGACACTGCAATATCCTGGCAAAAAAATAAAATGGTAATAGCTGCCAGAGTTCACATAACGGCTTTATACAACACTCACTCAGTCCAAAATCTGCAAGGTTGGTGAATATATAAAACATCCATTCATTGACCAAAGCTAACATGATAGCTCGCGTATCTCAATCGTAATTTGGTACATTGAACAGAACAATCCGGAATCTGCATTAAAAATATCTGTCAATCTGTAGGATATACCCCGCTAACACAAAGCAGAACTTGATCCTATACTTCAATCAGCAAATCACAGAACCGTTATATTATCTATGTTTCTATGACATTCACTGACTTGCTTGCCAAATCCTGACATGCATTAACGTCAAGTATCTGAGTACAGATGCTCATCTAATCCAAGACAATACCCCAGTTCATGTATAAGCGTCTAACACACTCCCACGTCGAGTCACAATATATCACTGGAGCCTACTTCTAATTTGTGTTCCTCCAGTAAATAAACGAATGGTGACATTGCTTCTCTAAACCAGCGTTTCCTCACCCTGTATTGCTTGATACTTCATTCCAAGCCTTTTAAGTCAGCTCAACGCTAACTAAGCAAGTGCTTTATTGTCCAAAAGTCTTACTAAGTGCGCGACACGCTTTGCATGGTATTCCGGTTCATACTTGAACAAATTGCGAACAGCGTCCGGCGATCCATGAATGTAAATGAGTTTGTATAGAGGCTCAGTTGTGCCAAATTGGTTTGACGAATCCAGCCAGTTTCCAAACTGCCTTTATGCCCTCACGTCTTACCGGAGCCAAATCGATCAAATTAGTCTTGTAGTGAATTTCACTCACGTAAACTAAGTCAATGAGAAACGTCCTTTGTTCTTTTCGTTCAACAGAGAAATATTATTTCGTTTGTTGTATATGGGTTTAAGAAGATTTTACCAATCAGGTCAAAGTGATCGAACTAAACTGTGAGGTGATGCCTGGGTGCAAGACTGTCCTAAATCTTACTCACTTTCAGCCGCTCATATTTGACACGATTTGGTAATGAAAGACTTGTATATTGAAATATGTACAGTGCAACAACTGGAACATCAATCTCATGTACAAAAAGGAATACTCATGAAAATTTAAATTTATTAAAAAAAGGCAAACGAATTCTCGTTTCAATTCCAAATTTCTCTCTTGTCAATCTGAAACAATAAATAGGTTAATAACATTAAATCACTACTGTCGCGTATTTCTGTCATCCAATGGAATCTTAGCAAGCCTGTTGTTTCATTTGCAGATGGTAAAGATGTTTATCATGTTTCGTGCAAATGCGTTCAAAAGAAAAAACATTTTTCCGAATGTTTGATGAAAATCATAGAAAAACACATTCCAGATTGTCACTCTCGCTGTAAATGCAACACGTGAACATGGAAACTGATTTAGAGTTTTTCACTGCACCCTTGAGACAACATCCAAGAGCTTAAATTCCATATCAATCATATAAAAGAAAAAAAGAAAAAACAGTTCACTTCGATTCCGGTTTATGTTTCAAAAATGATTGAATAATTATGACCTGTCGCTTCAAACCTTGTCGTTTGCAATTGATTTGTGACAACCAACGACATGGTCACAGAAGCCGCCATACAACACAGCAACCGCCTCTTTGTAGCGTGATCACATAATATTATTCTATCAAGAATCAAGGCCCCGTTGTACCGTGACCTCATGGAGTGCTAATCAAGTAATGACCTTCTACAGATACAATGCTTCAATAACAGTGTGGAATCGAACTCCAGCCTTTTTAACAAAGACAAAGGCAGGTTGAACACATGCTGTTGTAAGGCAGGGCTTACATTACGTCCGTTTTTTCTTGCGCTGCGTCGTAAGTTACGTCAAAAAACCGCAAGTCAGTTATTTTATCATTTATACCTTACACTACGTCCGTTTTTTGGGTGCGTTGCGCTGTGCTGCGTTAAAATAGGTCAGACAGTATTTTTGACGCAACGCAAATTGAAACGCAGAGGGAATTCCCTTGATGACGCCATTTTAACAAGGTATTTTGCCAACACGTGAGTAGTTCCGGTGAGTTGATTTTGTAATTTCTTGAACGAAACAAGCCAATGTAACATGTAATCCTCGTAATTGGATCACTCCAGAATGCTTTATCTGTTTGTATATGACTTAAACTATTTCATAAATATTAAGTAATATACCATATAATTCTATTTACATAACTGCTGTGGTTGTGATTAATTCACAGCTATGGCCGCCATCTAACGCATGTTCAAAACGCATATCCACGCATATAGTGTAAGAGCAAAAACGCAATGCATAACGCATGCGTTAAAAAAAACGGACGTAATGTAAGCCCTGCCTAAATCACGTACTGCTAAAAAAACACTGCACCGCTAGGCACCAAACTGCGCTACGCCGCATAGTACTACCGCACCGCACCGCACCAACTGCTCACCATACCAACGCACCGTACTATGGCCTGTGGTATTGGCACCAGCAACAAACACCAATACTAAGCCAGAACTTAACCCCCGGCTTATAAACAACCGCAGTACCAAATGAATCGATAACAGGTATAAACTGAGAGAAAAAACATCGCCAAAGGTTCCATCGTTTCACCATTACATTTAATCACGCCAATATTTATCATTAATACAGTTATC